CCCCAAAACCCCAAAACCCCAAAACCCCAAAACCCCAAAACCCCAATTCGTTATAAACTTATTGAAAATGAGTGAAAAGAAAACTCAGGAAGAAGAGAAAAAGAGCACCAAGGGGTTTGAATACGATCCTGTATCAATAATATCAAGGAAGATCGATATTGCTATAGGAATGATCTTACCGGAGAGGTCGAACACAGTAATGGCAGGATGCAAATTACTTGGAACCTTCTTCATTCTCTTTGCAACAATCTACCGTCTCTTTATCGATTGAAATTTAATGACTCATGACTCGGAAGCATGCCTTATTATGATCATCACCATTCTTGTGTTCGTCTTCACAGATGGGTTCTCAGCAGGACTAATTAAGGAGGATAAAGAAGACTCTATCAACTTTGAATTGTTTAGAAAAGTCTGAGATACAGTCTGTTGGACCATGATTGGGCTTCAGATATGCCAAATCATGAGAATTGGTAAGGATTCACTCTCTAATACATAGGTGATTCACTCTTGGGCTCTCTATTGATAGGGTGATTCTGGATATCATCTCACCTTGATGCCTATGTAAGGTTTAAAGAAGCTCTCTATGTCATCACTTGGAACTTTTTGTTTTCATTTGAGGGATTACTTGGGATCTTTTTCCTTTGTTCCTACAGCAGATCTATGGGAGTCAATCTGTTTGAGAAAGAGGTGGTAGAGCTATTCAATGAAGAAGGGCACCCAGCATTAGCCTTTATTACTATGAAGAAGGTTCTTATCGTTTTGTTTACTACTTTTACATTCAATGCACTGCTAAGCAAGAAATGGATGTGGGAAGAAGCAGGCGGAGGACAAACAATGATCTTTATATCCTGTCTTCCTATATTTTTAGGAATATTATTCTTGATTCTATGCCAATATTTTCAGTTACATCCTGAAGGTGGTCTCGGATTTCTATATCTTTCGTTCAGTTTGATATTTTTGAGTGCAAATCTATCTCTTTACATAAATGCATTTGCAAGACAGAACAATGGGTTAAAGATAGCAGAACTAGTTTTGGTGATTCTTCACATTCTTATATGTGCTATTACAGGATATAGCCCCATGTTGTATATCATCACCATACTATTCACCTTGCTGATTATCTCTAAATTCCTTGTAGTCAGATCTCTAAACGCTGGGATGATCTTCAGACCTAAGAAAACTGAATAAATCAATATTTGTTTAAGAAATAGGGGTTTTGGGGTTTTGGGGTTTTGGGGTTTTGGGGTTTTGGGA